CCCCAAAACCCCAAAACCCCAAAACCCCAAAACCCCAAAACCCCATATTTATATTTTAAAATTGCACAATTTTTTAATTCAAAATAGATAATCTTTTCTCTAATTTGCCATCAGGAATCCTAAAATTTAAACACTTCATCTTCTGTAATCGCCTTGGCTGGATTTTTATGCCCAAATGTCTGCTTAGGTATCCTTTTTATTGCCTTTGGAGAAGGTAACCTTTGGAGATAGGGAAAATACTCTTTCTGGCCTTTTCATTCTTTAGATTTAGAAATTTCTCAAACTTGTTCCTTATAGTTCATCTTCTTTGAAGCTCTTCTTCTGAATATGGACTGGTTTCTATTAGAGTTCTTAGGAATGTTTAAAGCATTATTCAGTCTCTCTGATGTCTCTTCGTAATTTGGCCTGAGGCTTAAAGGAGTGACTGATCCCACATGCTCATGATTATGGTCAATAGATTCCTTGTGGTATCCTAATCTTTTACTGTCTCACACAGAGCCATCATAGACATGAAGTCTCTTATTTACAGAGTAAACATCTAATCCTTCCTTTTTAGTTCAATTCGGAGGTATTCAAAGATACTGCATAATATTTCTTACTCGGGGTGTTCGAATCGAGGGCTATGCATAACCAAAACTAGCATACCTTGATTGGGAAGACTATTTTCTGGATAAATACATTTAAATTTCTGTGTGAATTTAGTGGACGTTCTTAGAAGTTCATCTCTAGCATGAGAGAAGTTTGACTTCTATATGTAATTAAATCTTCTTACTGATGACTGTAAACCAGAGTCATTGTGATCTATGGAGTAGCCTTTTGGCTCTTTTGGGAGAATACTCCTTGGCTTATGCATCATGTTTCCTTTGGGATATACAAAGTCAAATTTTTCGTCATTAGTATCACCTCTGTAAACCCTCTCAGTTTGGTTAAAATTAGTAGCTACATGTCAGAAATGCTAGACTTACAGGTTTTATGAGCATTCAAGCTCTCTCTCTGTCTTTGAAGCTGCTTCTCAATGTCTTTCTAATAAAAGTGTGTTTCTAAAATTTACCTTGAACATCCATTTTTGAGGATTTCCGTTAAAACTCGTCTTATTCTTAAGGGCATCTAAAGATATTGGTCTTGTAGATTACTCTTATTTTTGCATACTTTCTTGGTATTCTTTTTCAAGTATGGGAGAGAAGAGTAAGAGGTAGAGTCATTCCTTAGGTCTTCGCTAGTAGAGCACCCTTTCTTCTTTTTCTTCTTCTTGCTCCCTCTTTTGAGAGTATTATGAATTTTCTTTTTGATTGATCGTTCCTTAAGCCTGTGAATGATTATTGTTCGACTATACCTTTTGTTATTAGTTCTCTTGTATATCTCAAGCTTTGTAAGAGCAGAAGGATCTCCAATGGTAATGTTCTTATTAGTCAGTATTGGTATCCTTGTAACTTCAGAAAGAGGAGTCATATTGTAAGTATCATCTACTGCTGAGCAATAAAACTTACTTTTTATTGGCTCAAGGCTGAGCTTAGATTTTACATCCATCTTTAATTTAACTTTGGAGTAATTAGCTTTTCTCTTTTGATTTGGTTTCTTCTCTGTATCTTCAGTATTTGTTATCTATCATTAAGTTAAGAAGCTTACTTCGTCCTCATATTTAAAATTATAAGAAGTTCGGAAGCACCCATTTTGATTTTCCCATTCCTCAGTAGCTACCTGATGACACTCTCTGTACACTTTCTAGTAAAATAATTAACAAATTTACACTATTCTTGGGGTAAATCTTGATATATTTAGAGTTATTTTAGAATATCCTCTTCATTTCTATCCTTCTTTCTCTTCTCTTTAATGCCATTGATAATCCTACTCTCGATAGTTTCTCTGATAGTTCTCTTCTTTCTGATCATTCTAGGGATGAAAGGTATCTTACTTCTTTGCCTTACTATCGATGTTGAGTAAGCTGAAAGTATCACGAATAAGCGACTAGAGTTCATATGTGGATCCTACCTCCTTGCAGTTCTTATCAACTATAAATTTTTGAATGTAAACTTACCTTCTGTATCTGCTCCAAAACTAGGCATGTGGTTAACCTCAATTAGCCATGGCTTTAAGCCTTCTTCAAATACTAGAGTTTGATCTAAGGTTGCTTACATAAAGTCAAATTTTGACTTCTCCAGTCTTCCATATGGTCAGTCCTAAAAGATGAAATCACTTCCTTAAACTAGCTTACTTTTGGTTCAGATCCAAAAGGTCGTTTCTTGCTTCTGAAGACACAATATCGCCATTCATATTGAGAATTATTACTGTCGGAAGTGTAGTTATTTGATATCTATCTTTCAAGCCTTGTTTTCTTTTATCTTTATATTCGATTGCTAGCCAGGGCATAGTTGAGTAAAACTTTTCAAACTGCTCTGGCCTCTCATCAGAACTGATGTAGATCACTTCGATATTCTTCTGCTCAGCATTGGCTTCTTTGTACAGTTTCTTCAAAGCGGTTGATAATTCTTTAGATGCTGGGTACCATATAGCTCCAAAGAATAGTATGATGAACTCTTTGGTTTTTCAAAGCTCATCAAATTGAATTTTACCTCCCTGCTGTCTGAAATCCTCACCAAGCTCATTTAGCTTATAAGGAGATTTATTTTTCCCTTTTTCAAGGAGGATGTCAAATCCCAGAATTTCAAAGCACATATCATGGGTCTTGCTCCTTGGTTGGAGAACATTATAAGTATGCAACAGTTTAGGCTGAATAGTAATTATAGTCTTCACGATAATGTCATGGATCTTTTTCATTAATAAATCTGTATCGTACCCATCAAGTCTAGCTTTGTCCAAAACATAGCCCAAAGTTTTCTTGCATTGATCTAGGATATATCTTGGGACAGAGTGGCCAAGATCACTATCTGAATAGGAATTATTTTACAATAGAGTAATTTGTTAAGTGAGTCATCAAGTTCTTCTTCTCATTAAAGTTGATACTATCCAATGAGTACTGCTGTGTAGAGAATCTAGCAAGACCATCGTCATAGAAGAAGATCTTCAGGGGATCTAATCATGTTACAAGGACATAGAGTCTAAGATCAAATTTATAACCATTGATCAGGTAGGGGTCTTCGATATATCTTTGAATTACAGTCTTTTTCTTATTCAATAACGAATTGATCTTTCTAGTAAGATAAATTCCTTTACCTTGAGCTCCTCCTTCAGGCTTCACAATGTAGATACAGTTTGGGTTTTGCTCAGAAAAAGCCTTCAGTTGATAACTCTCGGTTGGCAAAGCCCATGACTCTGGAAAGAAGCTGTACTCTTCAGGTAGGGACTTTGCCAGTTTATTTTAAATGATGGCAAAGTTGATTCTTTCTTGTGATCATGTACATTCCAGGGAAATGATTAACTTTTTGATACAATTTCATTCTTTTAAACAATAATTGGTTAATGCCAGAGTCACTCCAGAGGATATCCCAGCAGTTTCCTTCAGTTTGTCTTTAACTTAGCCTAAAAGACCTACTTAAATCAGAACTCTTTTGTTGAAAGATCTCAAATTATTGGATATTTGCAATTGTTAAGGTTGATTTTCATAACTTTGGTTGTCTTATTTGCCTCTTGTATTGTCTCTATATCTCTCTTAGTCCCTTTTGAGTCCAAATCCCTACCTTGGTTCACCTGGCCTGACCTCTCATTAAAATGGGCTTGCTCGAAGTCTTCTTCTGACGAGTCAGGCTCCTATAAAATTAGTTTGTTTATGGAGAAAGGTATGACTACCTTCTGTTCTTCTATTCTTTCTTTTGTGCTGAGATTTGTTCTATATGGTCTACCTTAGTTTTCATATCATCTAATCTATTTCTTTTACCTCTCCCATCATTATTTATCCTTTTCAAAAACGAACTAAATAAATCTCTATCCTACCCTCACCCCTCTCAAATCTACACCCGCATCAATAAATCTCCTTAAAAAGTCTCTCTATTCGACAACACAATATGTTAAATTCCTGATGCAGCTAAGGTCTCTGCCCAACCCCACACATATTTACATAATAAAACCCAGACCACACACAACCCAAACTTCTGAATAAGTAAGCCAAGAAGCCAAAAACCCACTCTCCACTAGAAATAAGTAAATTTATTCTGAATATACTGCAAAAACCATCGTTAATTATTTCAGATTCATAATTTGTCCACCCTCCCACTACAAGAATTGGGTAGAACTATTCTTTAATTTCACATAGCAGACCGTAAAACTAGCCCAAGAGAGAACTACTCTGGTTCTTTAGATAGTTACGGCTAGGCGTTTGGGAAGCAGCCTGGTTTACTTACAACTTATCCATTTTTAAAGATCAACTGTCTGTATTTCCAAAAATAATTTAATAAACCATCTTGCTTTATTCTTTCTATATTCCCAGACCATCAAGGGGTTTTGGGGTTTTGGGGTTTTGGGGTTTTGGGG